AAAAAAAAAAAAGAGAGAGAGAAGAAGAGAATGAGAAGCGCTTCCAAATAATCAAACCTTCGTCATTGCTATCATCATCAAGTTAGCCGATTAGGAGCACATAAAAATAAGACTTCACCAAAAACCATAAAGAAAGTCATGCTTCGCCAATACCGTGAAAAAAAAATAATAAATCCACAAACAAAAAAAGAAGAAAAAGCCCGGAGAAGCCAAAGGCCAAAGAAAAGGGCAAATTACCCGGTAGGAAACCCACTAAGGGGGCTACACAAAAGTTAGGGTCGACCCGTAGGATACCCGAACAACAATAAAGGGTAACCTAGGCAAAAGTTAGGGTTACAAATAAAGGTTCGCTAGGATTCCTCCAAAATTTTACAAGAGAGAGAACCTAGACCAAAAATAGGGCTGACACACAGTATCCTAGTTCGAAAACCCAAAGGGCGATCTAGGGAAATCAGCTAGCCATTTAAAAAGCAATGAAAATAAAAAGAGCGCAAATGCAAAAAAGAAGGAAGAGGAAAGACGTTTGCTTAGACAAAGCCCAAACACCCAGGCTTAACCCTAACCAGCCATTCTTACAAATTCTTTATCAATAAAAATCAACACTCTAAAACACAAACTATTGATTTTTACCTCCTTTATTTCTCTTCTCTTGACCCTCACAACAATATTCTTTTAATTAATCTGGGAATATGGAGGCGTATAGTCAACAAGAGGATTGAGATCCCTAAAGCAAGGAAAAGGGTCACTACATGACGAAAAGTGCTCTACAAAAGAAAAAGACAAAAACAAGAAGAAAAAAAGAAGAAGAAAGAAACTACCCTTCGGTCACAAAAGGTCCTGACAAGGTATAGCCAAAGATATACACAAGAAATCGAGGGCTTCCAGTAGCAACAAGACACGTTGGTTAATTCCTTTTGAAAGATTGAATCAAAAATAGGCATTATAGGACATAAAACATGAAAACATTTGCATGCATAGAATGTTTTTGAATCAGGTCCTATTTTATTCTCAAAAAAAAAAAAAAAAAAAAAAAAAAACTCGAAAATTCGAGACCACCGTCCGGGTTTCCCGCACCGCCGTCTCGTTTCGTTGACCGGACGAGACCGCCGTCTCGAAAAACCGGACCGTCGTCTCGACTTAAGCAAAGTCGAGACCGCCGTCTCGGATTATCGAGACCACCGTCTCGATTTGTCGGCAAAACGAGACCGCCGTCTCGACTTTCCGGACGGTGGTCCCGAATCCGTAAAATTTCCTATATAAGGAGGGGCGCGGATGGATCTCCTCACACACCTCCTTGATCCCCAAACCCTCAAAACCTCTAAAGCTCTCATATTTCTGCTCCTCCAAGCTTCCCTACTCAAAATGTTTAGCAGAGGTGGCTCCGGAAAGAGAAGGGCAACCGCTGGTGCTAGCAGCTCAAGCACCACCACCGCCCCAGCATCCTTCCCAACTTCAACCACAGCACCAGGCCCGCCCGGACAACCTCGAAGCTACCGGTGGCACTCAATGCCGACACCGGATTTCAGCATTTTGGCTGAATTCGGATGGGAGGAGGATGTCCGAACACACATCGACAACATCGGATGGGGCTTTCGCTACGGCCTCCCCCACTCATGTGTACCCGCAGGCGGTACTTGAATTTTTGGCCTCGGCCTCCTCGTTGAGATCCCCTCCATGGCCTCGGGAATGCAGCCCACCAAAATGGTCAACTACTTTATGGGGGGCAGTACCATACTACCACTTTGGAAGAGTTTAATGTCTCCATTGGGTTCATCCGGCCCGAGGAGGCATTAACTCGGGAGTACCGGGAGGCCATCTCGCGCTAGGCCCACCCATCTCACCCCCGCCGATATGTGGCGGGACCTCACGAGGGCAACCACACTCCCCACCTTAATGAGGGGATCCGCACTACAACCGGCCCTCCGCATCCGCCACAAGCCGCCGGCGTGCACACTCCACGGGAGGAAGGAGAGCCAGGGTAAGGTATCCCTCCCCGACCTCTTCGCTCTCTACCGCATGCACCGGAGGAGGCGCCGCAACCCGGGGTACTTCTTCTTGAGGGCCCTAAAGGACTTCGGGAGCAGGTCCACGGGGCCATCCTCGTAGCTCCCCTCATCACCCCTCCGGCGCAGAGGATGGGGTGCCCTGGCCGGGAAGAGCCGGCCCGCAGCCTCCGACCCGAGCCCATCAACGGGCCGATGCTAGTCGGCATGGGGATGCCGATACGCCGAGGAGGCCGGTCCGCCCGCACCCCACCCCGGACTTTGAGCTAGACCTCCAGTGGAATAGTGGCAATGCAGGATGCGCCCGTATCCCCTAGCTCCCAACAAGAACACCAACAAGCAGGCAGCAGCAACAAGCAAGCAACCACCACCACAATACACAAATGACTTTGCTGGCATGCACCAAGCACATGGACTTTTTGGGCCAGCAGCTTGGCCAAATAGCCTTGTGGCGGGAAGAGCAACAAGCAGTGGCGGCAGCACCCAGGATGCCCACATACAGTGCCCTTCGAGATGGCCAAAATGAGATACGCCAGGAGCAGCTAAGGATGCGACAGGACTGGACGGCATTCCAGGAGGACTACAATGATGAACTCCAAGAACAACTCGAATTCCGCCACCACCTGTACAAGCAATATCCTTACCGCACTCCCTCGGATGATGATGATGACTCCTAGGGTCTGTACTTGTTGAAAAAATATGCTGTAATAAAATTTCCAATAAATAAAATTTTCTCGCATCTTTGGCCTTCATTTCCAAAAGCCAGCGTAATAAAAAAGGCTTAAAAAGGAAAAAGGCACACGCTTAACAAAAAAGCCAAAATCCAAAAAAACGCAAGAAAAAAGAGTTAAAACTGCGAAAAAAGGCAGGATTAAGCCATCACCAATAAAAATCGACTACCAAGAGTCGAGCACAAAAGAGGAAAATCCCCACTACATCCCTGATGGGGGGTTCAAACCCATCCGGTCCCACACAACGGACCGTACATCCATGATGGGGGGTTCAAACCCATCCGGTCCCACACAACGGGCCGTACATCCCTGATGGGGGGTTCAAACCCATCCGGTCTCACACAACGGACCGTACATCCCTAATGGGGGGTTCAAACCCATCCGGTCCCACACAACGGGCCGTACATCCCTGATGGGGGGTTCAAACCCATCCGGTCCCACACAACGGGCCGTACATCCCTGATGGGGGGTTCAAACCCATCCGGTCCCACACAACGGACCGTACATCCCTGATGGGGGGTTCAAACCCATCCGGTCCCACACAACGGACCGTACAACCCTGATGGGGGGTTCAAACCCATCCAGTCCCGCACAACGGACCGTACACTACAGCCCCGATGGGGGGTTCAAACCCATCCGAGTCCCACACAACGGACCGTAAACTACCGACCCAATGGGGGGTTATACCCATCAACCAAAGGATCAGCCTACCGCATCGAAGGAGCATCCGGAGGTCAAACACCGAGTGGGGTGTAAACTCACCAAGCCTTACAAAAGGGGTTTACCGGCGGGGTTCGTACTCGTCAAACCGGATGGGGGTTCGTACTCATCCGCCGAAGGGGTCGGCTACCGCGTTGAAGGAGCATCCCGAAGCGAACAACACAACATCTCCAAGAGGATCACCTGCCGCAAGACGGGACGTCCGAAGGGTAGCCGGCAAGAGGGTCAACTCCTTTACCCTCCGAGCCGATCATCTCGACACGTAAGGCCAAGCGATCGACTAGTCGGGTAAAGGGGGGCAGCTGTAGACCCCAAATCTTGCCCGGCCTCGAATAAAGCCGTAGAGCGACCTATTCGAAGACGGCCGAAGCTTAACAAGTCATTAGGAGAGGCTATTAGGCTCCCGTACCAGGATAGGAAGGTTTTTAGGCCCAAAAATAAAGTTTCTCGCCCGAAAGGATGAGACCGCCGTCTGGAACGACCGCGACCGCCGTCTCGTCTCGAACGCCAGACGAGACCGCCGTCTCGGTTTCCAGACGGCGGTCTCGCTTCCCGCAAATTCGAGACGGCGGTCTGGATTCTCCGGACGGCGGTCCCGTTTCTCGCAAAATCGAGACGGCGATCCGGCTTTTCCGGACGGCGGTCTCGCTTCTGGATTGGTCGAGACGGCGGTCCGGACTTTCTAGACGGCGGTCTCGACCTTGTCGAGGAGACGGCGGTCTCGACCTGTCGAGCGCGAAAAACTATAAATAGGGGCGCTCTCCCCTCATTTCCACACAGTCTTCCAAGAGCTCTCCCTTCTCTCTAGCTTTTCTCTCTCTAAGAATCCCTCCGAAGCATTTCCGGAGTCTCTGAGTGTCTTTAGGAGTATTTTGAGCGTTTGAAATCTTCTTTAGGACCCCTTCGAAGCATTTCCGGAGTTTTCCGAGAGTGTAGAGTGAAGGGTTGCCAAAACGCACCCACTTTATATAAAGAGCTTGCCTTGGAGGTGCATAATTCTCTCCCTCTATCTTCATTACTCGCTATTTAAATTATGCAATAGGAGTTAGGGCCATGTAGTCATACATTTAAAATTCCGCACAATAAAAAGGGTAAAAGCGCTATTTTACAGCTTTAATTATTTATTCAAGCTAGCCGACTCTATCATAGGGAACCCGAAAGGGGCGTTGTAAAGGAACTAATACTTCCTTTACACGTAACTAACTCCCTTACCCAACTCTGGTTCTAATGACCAAGTTGGTTTCCGATGTTTATGGTAAAAATATCGGTGGTGACTGCATAGAACCCAAATTAAATAAATCCCCGAGTTAGCCCGGTTATAGGACAACTCAGGGATACTTTTGAAAACCTCGCCCCTAGGTTAGCCCGGTTATCGGACAACCTAAAGGTGTTGTAACCACCAATAAAAAACGCGAAAATCAAATAAAGAGTCGAAAAACCATCGCGTCGCTCCGACCGCGCCCCCCTCTTTGGGGGAGGCGGCGACAAGGAAGAAGAAGAAGAAGAAGTTTTGGATGGAGAAGAAGTCAAGGATAAAGAAGAAATTATGGATGGGGAAGAAGTTAAGGAGGGAGAGATGATTATCATGGATGGAGAAGAAGTCAAGGAAGGAGAAGATGTCATGGACGGAGAAGATGTTATGGAAGGAGAAGATGGTTTGGATGGAGAAGAAGTTAGGGAAGGAGAAGAAGTTAGGGAAAGAGATGAAGTTAAAGAAGGAGAAGAAGTTAAGGATGGAGAAGAAGTTTGGGATGGAGAAGAAGTTTGGAATGGAGAAGAAATCAAGGAGGAAGAAGAAGCTAAGGAAGGAGAAGAAGTTATGGATGGAGTGTAAGTTAAGGATGGAGAAGAAATTTGGGATGTAGATGAAGTTAAGGAAGGAGAAGAAGAAGTTAAGGATGGAGAAGAAGTTAGGGAAGGAGAAGAAGTTAAGGATGGGGAAATAGTTTGGGATGGGGAAGAAGTGAAGGAAGGAGAAGAAGTTAGGGAGGAAGAAGAAGAAGAAGAAGTTTTGGATGGAGAAGAAGTCAAGGATAAAGAAGAAATTATGGATGGGGAAGAAGTTAAGGAGGGAGAGATGATTATCATGGATGGAGAAGAAGTCAAGGAAGGAGAAGAAGTCATGGACGGAGAAGATGTTATGGAAGGAGAAGATGGTTTGGATGGAGAAGAAGTTAGGGAAGGAGAAGAAGTTAGGGAAAGAGAGGAAGTTAAAGAAGGAGAAGAAGTTAAGGATGGAGAAGAAGTTTGGGATGGAGAAGAAGTTTGGAATGGAGAAGAAATCAAGGAGGAAGAAGAAGCTAAGGAAGGAGAAGAAGTTATGGATGGAGTGTAAGTTAAGGATGGAGAAGAAATTTGGGATGTAGATGAAGTTAAGGAAGGAGAAGAAGAAGTTAAGGATGGAGAAGAAGTTAGGGAAGGAGAAGAAGTTAAGGATGGGGAAACAGTTTGGGATGGGGAAGAAGTGAAGGAAGGAGAAGAAGTTAGGGAGGAAGAAAAAGAAGAAGAAGTTTTGGATGGAGAAGAAGTCAAGGATAAAGAAGAAATTATGGATGGGGAAGAAGTTAAGGAGGGAGAGATGATTATCATGGATGGAGAAGAAGTCAAGGAAGGAGAAGAAGTCATGGACGGAGAAGATGTTATGGAAGGAGAAGATGGTTTGGATGGAGAAGAAGTTAGGGAAGGAGAAGAAGTTAGGGAAAGAGAGGAAGTTAAAGAAGGAGAAGAAGTTAAGGATGGAGAAGAAGTTAGGGATGGAGAAGAAGTTTGGAATGGAGAAGAAATCAAGGAGGAAGAAGAAGCTAAGGAAGGAGAAGAAGTTATGGATGGAGTGTAAGTTAAGGATGGAGAAGAAATTTGGGATGTAGATGAAGTTAAGGAAGGAGAAGAAGAAGTTAAGGATGGAGAAGAAGGTAGGGAAGGAGAAGAAGTTAAGGATGGGGAAATAGTTTGGGATGGGGAAGAAGTGAAGGAAGGAGAAGAAGTTAGGAAGGAAGAAGAAGAAGAAGTTTTGGACGGAGAAGAAGTCAAGGATAAAGAAGAAATTATGGATGTGGAAGAAGTTAAGGAGGAGAGATGATTATCATGGATGGAGAAGAAGTCAAGGAAGGATAAGAAGTCATGGACGGAGAAGATGTTATGTGTAGACCCCAAATCTTGCCCGGCCTCAGAATAAAGCCAGAAAGCTTCCTATTTGAAGACGACCGAAGCCTAACAAGCCATTAGGAGAGACTATTAGGCTCCCGTACCAGGATAGGAAGGTTTTCTAGCCCAAAAATAAAGTTTCTCGCCACGAGGGACGAGACCGCCGTCTGGATTTCCTGGACCGCCGTCTCGTCTCAACGCCGAGACGAGACCGCCGTCTCGAAATTCCGGACGGCGGTCTCGTTACTCGCAAAAGTCGAGACGGCGGTCTCGATTCCCGCCTTGTCGAGACGGCGGTCCGGATTTCCCGGACGGCGGTCTCGACCCATCGCCATGGACGAGACAGCGGTCCGGAATTTCCAGACGGCGGTCTCGACCTCGTCGAGGAGACGGCGGTCTCGACCTGTCAGCGCGAAAAACTATAAATAAGGGCGTCATTTCTCCCTTTTTCCACACAGCAGCAAGAGCTCTCCCTTCTCTCTAGACTTTCTCTCTCTAAGAATCCCTCCGAGGCATTTCCGGAGTTTCTGAGTGTCTTTAGGCATAAAAAGAGTGTTCTAAATCTTCTTAAGAATCCCTCCGAGACATTCCCGGAGTTTCTGAGAGTTGTAGAGTGAAGGGTTGCCAAAACGCACCCTCTCTTTTATTTATAAAAGCTTGCTTTGGAGGTGCATATCCTCACTCTCTATTTTTATTACTGTTATTTAAATTACGCAATAGAAACTAGGGCCATGTAGTCATATATTTAAATACCGCATAATAAAAGGGTAAAAGCGCAATTTTCTAGTTTAATTATTTATTCAAAGTAGCCGGCCTATCATAGGGAACCCGAAAGGGCGTCGTAAAGGGACTAATACTCCCTTTACACGTAACTAACTCCCTTACCCAACTCTGGTTCTAATGACCAAAGTTGGTTTTTGAAAACCAACGCCTTTCTTAAACCCTTTTCCGATGTTTATGGTAAAAATATCGGTGGCGACTCCACGAACCCTTCAAAACTAGTTCTTGGGTTAGCCCGGTCATCGGACAATCCAAGAACACTTTTCGAAAACCTCGTCTCTAGGTTAGCCCGGTTAACGGACAACCTAAGGACGTTGTAACCACCAATAAAAACGCGAAAATCAAAGAGGGTCAAAAAATCATCGCGTCGCTCCGACCGCGCACCCCCCTTTTCGGGGAGGCGGTGACAGATGGCGACTCCGCTGGGGAAGCCTAGAGAGTTGATCCCATTTAGTGATGGGCTGGCTTAAGGATAATTAAACCAAGAAAATAGCGCTTTTACCCCGCCTTGTATTATAACATGTTTTATTGTTTGGCTTTCAATAAACCGTTGCTTGTTTATACTTCCGCAATTGATTGGAATATAAATTGCACACAAAACCCTTGCACACTACAGTTCCCTCTATACCCGAGGGCAAGTGAGAAAACCATAGGGAGTGGGTGGCGTGTACGGTTCGCTGCAGCTAGGGCCTTGTGCCCACCGGTGTGATCGGAAACCACCACTCAAGGTGATAACCTTCCTCTTTTGGCAACAAGACCGACTCGGCCTTAGTGCCGAGCATGGTTGGACTACTGGAGAGTGGGGACCCTATAATGGGGGCACCTTGGGGGCCTTAGCCTCGGTGAGAACAGCTAGAACCTACCCTAACCAATGCACTTTTCTGCAGGAAAACCCTACCTCGATAAAAACGAAATCTCGCCTGTTCGGGGATGTTCAAATTGTGTGTGCATTTGTATGTTGCATAGCATAAACAAACAACAGAACAAAATCACAAAAATAAATATTTTACAAATAAACACCCTTATCTCGGAAAGTCCGCCTTTTAGCTAGCCTGGTTTCGGGTTCTTTGCAAGCTAAGTAGCCACGCTAGCTCCGACGAAGAGATAAGGGACGTTAAAATATTTTTTTCCGCATAAAGCCATATTTTATCTTGGAAAGTCTCGCCTTTTAGCTAGCCTGGTTTCGGGTTCTTTGTAAGCTAAGTAGCCACGCGAGTCCGACGTAAGAGATAAAAGGCTATAAAATAAACAAATAAAAATAAAAAAATCCATTTTCCAAAATCCATAAATAAGACCTGGTCCAAAAATATTATACATGCATAGTTTATTTTTCAAAAAAAATACGCAAATACCATACATCATGTAGAAAAACATGATAAATAGCAAAATAAACACTTACATACAATAAACACTTACATACACTTCAAAAAAAATACGCAAATACCATACACTCACCTAGAGTAGCTATGAGGCAACTCATGAGGACCCAAACTATTATCTCCCGAGGGGAACTCGGAGGACTGTGCTTCTTTGGAGACCCATGCACAATCACCAACTCACTGGCCGTAAGGAAAGCATGGGAGAAGTCAGTCTACATGGGAGACAGAGAGCTTGGAAAAGCTCGGGTGGCTGTCACCAGTGACTATGAGGCATGGAGAAGAAGAAGAGAGATGGCTCGACCATCCACCACACCCGCACCAATTGCCAACCACGAAGAGCTGCAGGCACAAGTCAATGCCTTGACCCAGAGGGTAGAAATAATGGGAGCCCAAATACGGGCCCTTGAGGAAAAAGAACAAGCCTCTATCCTCACGATTGACGGTCTACAAAGGCAAGGCAAGAAAAAGGATCATGAAATAGAACGCCTCAAGGACCAATGTGCTGACGCCAACGAACAAGCTCTCCGAGCGTCCAAAACCGCGGAACCAGCTCGGATAGCCAACCGCAGGAGATAACCGCGGATCAAGCACACCTTGAGGCGGAATCGGCTCAAGCAGGCTCAACGGATCAAGGAGTTGTCGAAGGACTCCTCCGAGGCTCATATAGATCTCCGCCAAGAGCGGGAGAACAACGAAAGCTGAGCAGAAGCCTCTATGAGCTACGCATTAAAGAGAGAAGCAGGCTAGCTCAGTATGACCAGGTACTCCAAGAAAAGGACCAAGCTGTTGCAAAGCTTGATGAACTACAAGCCTTGGTCATACATCAAGAGGCAAAGATCAAAGAGGCTCAACAATACAACGAAGAAATGAGCCAAGCGATCCACAAGCAAAGCGAAGCGCTCACTCACCATGTCCGGGAAGCCGAGAGAGAATTGCAAAGAAAACAAGACCCGCCTGTGGCTTTCTTTAGGCTTTTTCGTTTTTGCCAAAAGACGCTTCGTAGTATGGAATAGGAGAATGTACACCTTTCAAAAGAATTAATGAAATCTTTTTCCTTACTTCACACTTGTCTACTTACATGCATAAGCATTCATTTGCATATTTTAATTTCCCTCCTTCACGCTTAAATAAATAAGATAATAAAAAGGAAGGATTAACTAACACGTCTCCCGACTCAGAAGAATGGAGAGAAAGCCACTCCTAATAAAGCTCACCCCAACGGTTGAATCATCGCAAGAGGGAAATAAACCTCGGCCGTTGGTCCTCAAGAATAAAAAAGAGGGGGCAAGGACGCCAGTGCGGCTATTTATGCCACGCCCTTTCCCCTACGAGTCAAACAAAGCCGTACCGTGGAGATATGGGGAATCTTCACCAATAAAAGAAGAAATAACAAACATAGCCAGCATTGGGGGCACAACGAGAAGTGGAAGAATCTACTCCCCCAAGGACACACAGGAAAATGTCCTTCAAAATAAAGGAAAAAATAAAAAGACCGAAGAAGAAAAAGAAAATAAAGAATCCAAGGAGGAGACAGAGGAATTACTCCAGTTAATAAGGCAAAGTGAGTATTCCATCATCGATCAGCTCAACCGAACGCCTGCAAAGATCACGTTGCTATCTTTGATAATGAGCTCGGAACCGCACCGGAATGCCTTGCTGAAGGTCTTGAGCGAGGCGCATGTACCTCACACAATATCCCAAGAAAAAGTTGAGAGGATCGTTGGTCACATCACGGCAAACGATCACCTCACCTTCACAGAGGAAGAACTCCCCCTAGAGGGGTCAAAGCATAACAAACCCTTGCATATCTCAGTCAAGTGCAAGGAATACCTCATCGCTAAAGTTCTTGTGGATAACGGGTCGTCCCTGAATGTGATGCCCAAGTGCACACTGGAAAAGTTGACTATCCAAGGGACCTGTCTGCGCCCAAGCAGCACCATCGTTCGAGCCTTCGACGGATCAAAACGAGAAGTAGTGGGAGAGATCAAATTGCCAATTCAAGTGGGACCCACTATCTTCGACGTCGATTTCCACGTTATGGATATTACTCCAGCATATAGCTGTCTCCTCGGCAGGCCTTGGATTTATGACGCTAAGGCAATACCTTCAACGCTCCACCAAAAAGTCAAATTCATAGTGGGGGACAAATTGGTCACGGTCCAAGCAGAAGACGATATCTTAATCAGTGGACCGTCCACCCAACCTTATGTGGATGCGGCTAAAGAGGCCCTTGAAACATCTTTTCAAGCGCTCGAAATTGCCAGTATAGAGCGACTTCCCAGAAACACAAAGGTAGCCCGCATAATGTTGAAGCATGGTTACCATCCTGGCCAAGGACTGGGGCAGATTCCCAAGGAATGAGGGAACCCCCAGAATTCAAAGACAATCCTTACAAGTATGGCCTAGGATATGACCCTTTCAAGGGCCGCACAAAAAAGAGAAAAGGGAAGTCCCCCCTCCGCACACTCAAGCAGATTTTCCGAAGTGGAGGGGTGCAAGCGTCAAGAGCCACTTTAGTCATTAGGAAATCTTTTTCTTTGCTTAAGGGATGTAAACCCCATGATTGTTAGAGATTATCCCCCGGGGCGAGCCCAACCCCCGGGCATCTTAAGGCACATATTCCCTTATTAATTAATAAGAATGATTCTTTCTATCTGCTTCTTTTCTTGCTACTTCTGACTGGACCACATAAATAACCCTGTCTAAGTAAACACAAAAAAAGAAGAAAATAAGGAGTGCTTCCAAACAATCAAACCTTCGTCATTGCTATCATCATCGAGTTAGCTGATTAGGAGCACATAAAAATAAGACTTCACCTAAAGCCATAAAGAAAGTCACGCTTCGCCAATACTGTGAACAAAAAAATAAATCCACAAAAAGAAAAAAGCCCAGAGAAGCCAAAGGCCAAAGAAAAGGGCAAATTACCCGGTAGGAAACCCACTAAGGGGGCTACACAAAAGATAGGGTCGACCCGGTAGGATACCCGAACAACAATAAAGGGTAGCCTAGGCAAAATTTAGGGTTACAAATAAAGGTCCGCTAGGATTCCTCCAAAATTTTACAAGAGAGGGAACCTAGACAAAAGTTAGGGCCAAACACAGTATCCTAGTTCGAAAACCCAAAGGGCGATCTAGGGAAATCAGCTAGCCATTTAAAAGCAATGGAAACAAAACCAATAGGCGCAAATACAAAAAGAAGAAAGGGAAGATGTTTGCTTAGACAAAGCCCAAACACCCAGGCTTAACCCTAACCAGCCATTCTTACAAATTCTTTTATCAATAAAAATCAACCCTCTAAAACACAAAACATTGATTTTTACCCCTTTATTTCTTTTCTCTTGACCCTCACAACAATATTCTAATAATTAATTTGGGAATATGGAGGCGTATAGTCAACAAGAGGATTGAAATCCCTAAAGCAAGGAAAAAGGGTCACTACATGACGAAAAGTGCTCTACAAAAAGAAAGAAATAGAAAAAAGAAGGAAAAAAGAAATTACTCTTCGGCTACAAAAAGTCCGGCATGGTACAGCCAAAAGTAAACACAGCAAATCAGAGGGCTTTCAGCGCAACAAGACACGTTGGTTAATTCCTTCTGAAAAATTAAATCAAAATAGTCATTATAGGATATCAAACATGAAAACATTTGCATGCATAGAATGTTTTTGAACCAGGTCCTATTATATTAAAAAAAAAAAACCCCTGCAAATTCGAGACCGCCGTCTGGGTTTCCCAGACCACCGTCTCGTTTCGTTGACCAAACGAGACCGCCGTCTCGACTTAAGCAAAGTCGAGACCGCTGTTTGGATTATCGAGACCGCCGTCTCGATTTGTTGACAAAACGAGACCGCCGTCTCGACTTTCCAGACGGCGGTCTCGACCTGGACAAATTCCCTATATAAGGGGGTGCGCCTGGATGGGTTTCCTCACAACTCTCTTTGCCTCCTAAGCCTCCAGAACTCTCATTCTGCTCCTCCAAGCCGTCACCACTCAAGATGTTCAGCAGAAGCGGCTCCAGGAAGAGAAGGGCAACTGCTGGTGCTAGCAGCTCAGCACCACCACCACCCCCAGATCCTTCTCAGCTTCAACCACAACACCAGGCCCGCCTGGACAACCTCAGAAACTACCAGTGGCACTCACTGCTGTCACTGGACTTCGGCGTCTTGGCCGAATTCGGATGGGAGGAGGACGTCCGAACACACATCGACAACATCGGATGGGGCTTTCTGCTACAGCCTCCCCCCACTCATGTGTACCCGCAGGCGGTACTCGAATTTCTAGCAGCAACAGCCACCACTGTACACAAATGACTTCGCTGGCATGCACCAAGCATATGGACTATTTGAGCCGGCAATTCAGCCGGATAGCGAGTGTGGCGAGAAGAGCGGACCCGAGTGGCGACGGACCCGGGATGCTCGCATACAGGCCCTTCAAGAGGGCCAAAATGAGATCCGCCAAGAGCAGCAGAGGATGCGGCGGGAGTGGACGGCGCACCAGGAGGATTACAACGATGAAATCCAGGAACAAACCGACTTCCGCTACAACATGTATACATATTTTCCCCACCGCGCCCCTTCTGATGACGATGACTCTTAGGGTCTGTACTGGTTAAAATAAAAGTCGCTGTGATAAAATTTTCTATGAATAAAATTTTTATTCAATAAAAAAAGAAAAAAGAAACTTAAAAAGAGAAAAGGCACACGCTCAATAAAAAAGCCAGAATCCAAAATCGCGAGAAAAAAGAGATAAAAACCGCAAGAAAAAGGCAGGATTAAAACAACTACCTTAACCAACAAAATTTCGACTACCAAGAGTCGAACAAAAAGAAAAGAGAAAAAACCGACCAACCAGCAGAAGTCGGATGATCACCACGAAAAAATCAAATCAGAAACAAAGAATTCCCAGCAACCAACGAAGCCGGATGAACAGCAAAACCAGATTTCCGGCAACCCGGATAACCATCCCAGAAAGGTCCACATCTACCAACACAGAGATCACTCCCCAGGAGCCGGCGCATGATCAGAATCAGTAAGCCGCCACCATCGCCAAAGGATCAGCTACCGCAAGAAGGGGCATCCAGAGGCACCAAACCGGACGAGGGTTCGTACTCGTCAACCAAAGGATTAGCTACTGCAAGATGGAGCATCCGGAGGTCAAACCACCAGATGGGGGTGTGTACTCATCAGGCCTTACAGAAGAAGGCTTACCAGACGGGGGTTCATACTCGTCAAACACCAGATGGGGGTGTGTACTCATCAGGCCTTACAGAAGGGGGCTTACCAGGCGGGGGTTCATACTCGCCAAAACTAGATGGGGGTTCATACTCATCAGCCGAAGGGGTCAGCTATCGCGTCAAAGGAGCATCCCAGAAGCGTACAACACAACATCTCCCCAGAAGATCATCCGCCACAAAGACGGAGCATCCGAAGGGCAACCGGGCAAGAGGGTCAACTCCTTTACCCTCCAGTCGATCACCTCGGCGCAAAAGGCCAAGCAGTCGACTGATCGGGTAAAGGGGGGGCAGCTGTAGACCCCAAATCTTGCCCGGCCTCAGAATAAAGCCAGAAAGCTTCCTATTTGAAGACGACCGAAGCCTAACAAGCCATTAGGAGAGACTATTAGGCTCCCGTACCAGGATAGGAAGGTTTTCTGGCCCAAAAATAAAGTTTCTCGCCCTGAAGGGACGAGACCGCCGTCTGGATTTCCCAGACCGCCGTCTCGTCTCAACGCCGAGACGAGACCGCCGATCTCAAAATTCCGAGACGGCGGTCTCGTTACCCGCAAAAGTCGAGATGGCGGTCTCGGATTTTCTAGACGGCGGTCTCGATTCTCGCCTTGTCGAGACGGCAGCCTGGATTTCCCGAGACGGCGGTCTCGACCCACCGCCATGGACGAGACGGCGGTCCGGAATTTCCAGACGGCGGTCTCGACCTCGTCGAAGGAGACGGCGGTCTCGACTTGTCGAGCCCGAAAAACTATAAATAGGGGCGTCATTTCTCCCTTTTTCCACACGCGCAGCAAGAGCTCTCCCTTCTCTCTAGACTTTCTCTCTCTAAGAATCCCTCCGAGGCATTTCCGGAGTTTCTGAGTGTCTTTAGGCATAAAAAGAGCGTTCTAAATCTTCTTAAGAATCCCTCCGAGGCATTTCCGGAGTTTCTGAGAGTTGTAGAGTGAAGGGTTGCCAAAACGCACCCTCTCTTTTATATATAAAAGCTTGCTTTGGAGGTGCATATCCTCACTCTCTATTTTTATTACTGTTATTTAAATTACGCAATAGAAACTAGGGCCATGTAGTCATATATTTAAATACCGCATAATAAAAGGGTAAAAGCGCAATTTTCTAGTTTAATTATTTATTCAAAGTAGTCGGCCTATCATAGGGAACCCGAAAGGGGCGTCGTAAAGGGACTAATACTCCCTTTACACGTAACTAACTCCCTTACCCAACTCTGGTTCTAATGACCAAAGTTGGTTTTTGAAAACCAACGCCTTTCTTAAACCCTTTTCCGATGTTTATGGTAAAAATATCGGTGGCGACTCCACGAACCCTTCAAAACTAGTTCTTGGGTTAGCCCGGTCATCGGACAATCCAAGAACACTTTTCGAAAACCTCGTCTCTAGGTTAGCCCAGTTATCGGACAACCTAAGGACGTTGTAACCACCCATAAAAACGCGAAAATCAAAGAGGGTCGAAAAACCATCGCGTCGCTCCGACCGCGCACCCCCCTTTTCGGGGAGGCGGCGACATTATGGAAGGAGAAGATGGTTTGAATGGAGAAGAAGTTAGGGAAGGAGAAGAAGTTAGGGAAAGAGAGGAAGTTAAAGAAGGAGAAGAAGTTAAGGATGGAGAAAAAGTTTGGGATGGAGAAGAAGTTTGGAATGGAGAAGAAATCAAGGAGGAAGAAGAAGCTAAGGAAGGAGAAGAAGTTATGGATGGAGTGTAAGTTAAGGATGGAGAAGAAATTTGGGATGTAGATGAAGTTAAGGAAGGAGAAGAAGAAGTGAAGGATGGAGAAGAAGTTAGGGAAGGAGAAGAAGTTAAGGATGGGGAAATAGTTTGGGATGGGGAAGAAGTGAAGGAAGGAGAAGAAGTTAGGGAGGAAGAAGAAAAAGAAGTTTTGGATGGAGAAGAAGTCAAGGATAAAGAAGAAATTATGGATGGGGAAGAAGTTAAGGAGGGAGAGATGATTATCATGGATGGAGAAAAAGTCAAGGAAGGAGAAGAAGTCATGGACTGAGAAGATGTTATGGAAGGAGAAGATGGTTTGGATGGAGAAGAAGTTAGGGAAGGAGAAGAAGTTAGGGAAAGAGAGGAAGTTAAAGAAGGAGAAGAAGTTAAGGATGGAGAAGAAGTTTGGGATGGAGAAGAAGTTTGGAATGGAGAAGAAATCAAGGAGGAAGAAGAAGCTAAGGAAGGAGAAGAAGTTATTGATGGAGTGTAAGTTAAGGATGGAGAAGAAATTTGGGATGTAGATGAAGTTAAGGAAGGAGAAGAAGAAGTTAAGTATGGAGAAGAAGTTAGGGAAGGAGAAGAAGTTAAGGATGGGGAAGTAGTTTGGGATGGGGAAGAAGTGATGGAAGGAGAAGAAGTTAGGGAGGAAGAAGAAGAAGAAGTTTTGGATGGAGAAGAAGTCAAGGATAAAGAAGAAATTATGGATGGGGAAGAAGTTAAGGAGGGAGAGATGATTATCATGGATGCAGAAGAAGTTAGGGAAGGAGAAGAAGTTAGGGAAAGAGAGGAAGTTAAAGAAGCAGAAGAAGTTAAGGATGGAGAAGAAGTTTGGGATGGATGTTAGAAAAGTAGGCTGAGATCAAGAGGGGTGGTGAATTGATCTTTAAATTTTTTTCGCAAATAACAGATTATCTAATTCAAAAATTAAGATTCCAGATCTGTTCTTGAATTACAAAGCAATCAATCAATATAAATGCAGCGACAGAATTAAAATAGAGAAAGGTTAAGAAAGATATCACCGGTGTTTTATACTGGTTCACCCAATACTAGGGCTACGTCTAGTCTCCAGCCAAATTCCAGCTGGGTTCCACTAGATCAAATGTTTTACAGACTTACAATCTTACACTTAATCTACCACAAGAACCAAATTCCAGTTCCTGCACTCAACCTCTCACCAAGAACCAAATTCCAGTTCTTGATAACCTCTACAACCAAATTCCAGCTGCAGAGAGACCAGTGCCCAAATTCCAGGCACCAAACAATACAAAAAGAATGTAAAGAAATGAAAAAAAAAGAAACTAGAATGCTCAAACCAGTTTATGCAATTCTGCTGTAAGTGTTTCTTCTTAAAAATAAATCAAGTTGCCTCAAGAAATATTTTCAAAGAACTTCTCAAAAATTGACGCGAATCTTTCTTGAAAAGAGTGCTAAAGTTTGCTTGATTGATTGCTCAAGGATGTATAAAAACTGATGTTCAATGTATGTTTAAAAAGTTCAAGCAACTCTGTTTTTATAGAAGATTTTCAAAACAACTGTATTAATTAATCTGTTAAAAGATTCTTTTAATCTGTTAAAAGTGCAATTTTAATCTGTTAAAACTTCTTTTAATCCATTAATACGTTCTTGATTCTTTAACTGATTTGTTTTAAGCTGATACGACAACGTTTATATCAATTAAAACACTTTACAAAAAATCTTCTAAGTTGATTTAATCGATTGTTTAGCGATTCAATCGATTGAAATACTGCAAACCTTTCTTGTAAAACTTTTCAAGTTATTTTAACTGATAAAAATAAGTTTTAATCGATTAAAACGCTGTGTAGAAATTTTCTAAGTTGTTTTAATCGATTGAAACGTGTTTTAATCGATTGAAAAAGTTCTGATCTGTTATAACTCAATTCTGATTGATCATAACTGATTCTGATCGGTCATAATTTCATTCTGATCGATCATCCTGAACTCCAAGTGGTTTTAATCAATTAAAACCAAGTTGTATCGATTAAAATACTGAAAAAACACTTCTCTTATCATTTTAAGTGATTTTAAACGGTTATTTCGAAGCTTTATCAGTTAAAACACTGACAGAAGGTTTTCAAAACTTTCTTTAATGAAAACAACCGGTTATTTCGAAATTATATTAGTTAAAAACTTGTTTAAGAAAGCTTTTGTTAAAATACTTTGTTTTTAATTGCTTAAATGTTTTTAGAGGCATTTTGCAAAATCTTTTAAGTGAAGAAACCTCATGTAGCAGAAAAGATAAAATGATTATACCTAAGCATAGCTGCGGACACACTAATCTTTCTACTCTTTTATCTTAGTAACTTTTGTCCACTGCAAAGTTGTTTTTGACTTCATCAAATCAATGAGATCTTTGCCAAAGTATTTCAATAAGATCTTCATCACTTTCAGTCTCCCCTATTTGATGAAGACAAACACCACTTTTGAAAAAAAAACTCGCAAAAGAAGTCACTTGATAATACTGATTAGTGAGTAATCAAAAATGAATTATCTTCCTATTTCTCCCCCTAAATTGTTGCTCCCCCTAAATTAAGAGTTATTTCTCCCTTTAAATTGATCAAAAGTAAAAGCAACTATTTCTCCCCTTTTTGACTTCATCAAAAAATAGGGAACAGAAGAGAAACAATGCATAGGTATGTATTGAAAAGATTTTGAAAATAAAAAAAATGAAAAATACGATACTTTACTCATGTAAAGATCAATCAAAGTTGATTCAAACTTATCTCCATTAACACGTTTGTAATGAATACAATTAACACGTGTAAAGATAAGGGAATCACGCTTTAGTAGCATGTTACAAGAACAACCATTAACTAAAGCCTTTAATTTTTCTTTCCAGAATAAAAATCGATTAAAAACAGGATAAAATCGATTAAAAAAGTTCATGTTTAATGATTTTAATCGATTGAAATAACGGTTTTATCGATTAAAACAGTGAAGGACTTTGAAATATAAGACATAAGTGCATTTAATCGATTATTTCGACATTTAATCGATTAAAACAGTAAGGAAAAATGTTGTATGAATTCTTTTAATCGATTTAAAAGATTTTTTACTGAATAAAACACTCAGTTTTGAAAACTAATTAATGTTTGATGCGAATTTCTCACGCCTAATCTTAGTGGATATTTTGTAACACTGATCAGCTAGAAGGATGTTTAACAATAATATCAACTACATCGATTAAATTTTAACTAATATATCCATCAAAATCAGAATAAAATCTTATTTAGCTAATTTAACTGATGTAAGCTAGTTCATAAAGATTTTAATCAATTGATACGAAGTTTTAATCAATTATTTTGTTATGAAAAGTGTTTTCTTTAATCAATTTAATCGATTAATTCTATTTTGTATCTGTTAAAACTCTTAGGGATCTATGTTGAAATCTATCTATGCTAGTTTGATTCGAATTAAACTTACATTATATTAATTCAAAGCTAGAGAGATAGTGCCTGGTATATAACCGAGTAATATTACGGACCAGAAATTTAAAATAAGCATCAAATGAAATAAGCAATAAAAGATAAGATAAGAATGGACCCTTTTAATCCATAAATCCAATCATCCCAGTTGCCATGGTTCCATAATAACATCCGAAACTCCTTTAGAGTCACTGAAAGATCCTCTTGTTGGTTTGTTGCTAAGGATGCTAGATTATCGGTATAAAATTGATCCCTGTACTTGCCAAACATACCTCGTGCCAATTTTAGCTTTCCATTCAATTCTTGGATTTGCTCTCGATTTGTCTCCTTACAGTATTACCTTGTGATCTTTGATGATTAAAACGAATTATCAAAGTTGCACAATTCCAATGAATTTCACCAATAGTCTTGAACCAATGCATGCCCAAAATTATTCCAAATGTATTGCTAGGTAATACCAAGAAATTTAATGTAAACGTGTGTTCATTGAATCTCCAAGTTATCTGTTCACACTTCCTAGTAATCAACAACTTATTATCAGAAGCAACCATCACTGAAAAATTCATGATAAGCTATGTTTTCAGTACCAATAACTTGACCCTTTTGTCACTAATGAAATTATGTGTACTCCTAGTGTCCATAAGAAAAAGGAACAGTCTACTTCTTGATAATTCCTTTGATTTGCAATGTATTACCACCCAGCATTCCATGTAAGTATGTAGACATCTGCAGCTAGAATTATGTCTATGTTGATCTAATTTGTCACCACATAACCTTTCGAATCGGTAATTGCTGAAACAAACACCTAAAGCTTCAAACTGGTTGTAGAATGACCGGAGTTGACCATTCTGAATTGGACTCTTGTTTGCAGCAAAGTCTTGCAAGATGCATACCTTCTTGCAGAGACTGTGGTTTATGAATTCTCACAGATTTTTTTCAGTTTAGTTTTCATACCAAATATTCTCCCAAATCTTCCTCTTGTTACAATCTTACTAATTCAACAATATCCTCAAAAGCACGATCATCAAATTGATATGACATATCTTGTGAAATTTGTTCCCAAGATTTATTCTTGAAACTGGGTTGATGTATGCAATGTCGCTGTCATGAAAGAGCCTTTCCATCCATGAATAACAGAAATAACTTCCCACATTATGCCACTAGTCTAGTCTCCAATTCAAAGATTTTTTTCATTTCTTTGTTGCTTCTGATCATGTTTGCAGCAGAGATTTGAGAGGAGATTTTGAAGATATGAAAACAGAAGAAAGATGATAAGTTGAGAAATGATAAGTTCAGAACCTGGTTTGATGAAGAAACGGATTTCAAGTTTTTGAAATTCAAAGAGACAAAACTGCAATGCTTCAGCTTTAACTGCAATTGTCCCCTTTTCCAAAGACAGAGGCACAAATTTCTGGACGTTGGGTACATCATCTATTTTGTTCTTGGAAAGATGTTTGACTTGGTCAAAGAATATTTAAAAGAATTATGCAGATTTTGATTACCATGAAAACTTGGGATTTTGAATTTGGTTTGCTTACCAATCTTTAATTGGATGCTATAAAACTAATTTTCAGAAACAAATCAATCGATTAACCAACTGATTAACCTATTAATTTGATCTTTTAATATTAGGTTTGAAATCGTTACAGTTGAAGTAATCGATTATTTCATAAAGGAATCGATTGTTTCTTGTATAGGATGAAATTAATAAAATGATAACGTAATTTAAATCGATTAAAACGAAAAGGAATCGATTAAATTTTACATCTTAGTATTTTTAGTTGATATAAATTCATTTCAATCGATTAAAACAGACTAAACTCAAAACCCGAGAACGTTTCAATCGATTAATTCGACATTTCAATCGATTAAAATGGTACGAACGAATTTTTGATATCCTCTCGTAAGTTATTTTAATCGATTAATATTGTTTTATATCAATTAAAACAATCAGCTTTATGAAATCGAACTTGATTTGCTACTTTGAACTCCAAGGGATTCCCGCATTTTGTTCCTGCAAAACAAATTTAGCATGTTTCGGTACCCTTTATAGTTCCTGGGTCCAATTAGGTTATTTGAAATGACTTTAACTTTGGAATCCATTTCATTCTTCCTTTAGGAATAGCATACTTTTTAATTCTACGGTATTTTACCTGAATGACCTCTTTTCATGCAAGTAAAAACATTTAATCACGAGTATGATTTCCTATTTACATTTATTTTTCTGAACTTCATCCTAGATTTAAATCCTATTCTAGATTTGTCAAAAATTAGTTTTTTGACCCAAGTAAAACGTCAAGATTAGCTTGACCTTGTGTAAATCTTGAAACGGTTTGTGATAAAAAATCAATTTTCTTTTGTAATTCTGAACAATTATTACAGGGTTTATTACATGCACAATCAGAATTATCATGAATTAATTTTAAGAAATCATAATCAGTTTCATCTTCAAGAATTCTCTTTTCAAGAGAGTCTACTTTATTTACTAGCCAATTATTCAATCCTTTTAGCCTATTATTTTCTTTTTGTAGTTTCTTAGCCTCTTCATGCATTTCATTAAATGCTTCTTGTAATGAATTATGATCCACTATGTTTGAAGAAGAATTAGAACTTACACTGCTGGATAGAAGATTTTGATTTTCCATTAGACACAGGTTGGCTTCTTCATTATCAGAATTGTCTATTGACGAAGTGTCATTGTCATCCCATGCTACATAGGCTCTTTTTACATCTGCTGTCCCTTCATGAGTAACCTCAAGAACATCCCACATCTCCTTGGCATATTTGCATTGGGATACCCTAAAAAACTCATCCATGTTAAGTGCGAAGTAATAATATTTTTAGCAAGTGCAATCATTTTGAACTTTTTTCTTTTCCTCATCATTTAGACTGGACCATTCTTTTTACGTAATTAAAGGGCCATTAGAAATTACATCCCAAACATTTCTATCAATGGATTCAATAAAGATCTTCATCCTAATTTTCCAAAAAGGATAATCTGTTCCACAAAACAGTGGAGGTCCGTTAATAGAAGCTCCCTCGAAAACGGTAATCTGTTTTCGACCATGGATCGAAGAACTTGAATAACTTTCAAGTACCTCGCTCCGATGCCAATTGTTAGAAAAGTAGGCTGAGATCAAGAGGGGGGTGAATTGATCTTTAAAAGTTTTTCGCAAATAACAGATTATCTAATTCAAAAATTAAGATTCCGAGATCTGTTCTTGAATTACAAAGCAATCAATCAATATAAATGCAGCGACACAATTAAAATAGAGAAAGGTTAAGAAAGATATCACCGGTGTTTTATACTCGGTTCACCCAATACCAGGGCTACGTCCAGTCTCCAGCCAAATTCCAGCTGGGTTCCACTAGATCAAATGTTTTACAGACTTACAATCTTACACTTAATCTACCACAAGAACCAAATTCCAGCTCTCGCACTCAACCTCTCACCAAGAACCAAATTCCAGTTCTTGATAACCTCTACAACCAAATTCCAGCTGCAGAGAGACCAGTGCCCAAATTCCAGGCACCAAACAATACAAAAAGAATGTAAAGAAATGAAAAAGAAGAAACTAGAATGCTCAAACCAGTTTATGAAATTCTGCTGTAAGTGTTTCTTCTTCAAAAGAAATCAAGTTGCCTCAAGAAAGATTTTCAAAGAACTTCTCAAAAATTGACGCGAATCTTTCTTGAAAAGAGTGCTAAAGTTTGCTTGATTGATTGCTCAAGGATGTATAAAAACCGATGTTCAATGTATGTTTAAAAAGTTCAAGCAACTCTGTTTTTATAGAAGATTTTCAAAACAACTCGTATTAATTAATCTGTTAAAAGATTCTTTTAATCTGTTAAAAGTGCAGTTTTATTCTGTTAAAACTTCTTTTAATCCATTAATACGTTCTTGATTCTTTAACAGATTTGTTTTAACTGATACGACAACGTTTATATCAATTAAAACACTTTACAAAAAATCTTCTAAGTTGATTTAATCGATTGTTTCGCGATTCAATCGATTGAAATACTGCAAACCTTTCTTGTAAAACTTTTCAAGTTATTTTAACTAATTAAAATAAGTTTTAATCGATTAAAACGTTGTGTAGAAATTTTCTAAGTTGTTTTAATCGATTGAAACGTGTTTTAATCGATTGAAAAAGTTCTGATCGGTCATAACTCAATTCTGATCGATCATAACTGATTCTAATCGGTCATAATTTCATTCTGATCAATCATCCTGAACTCCAAGTGGTTTTAATCAATTAAAACCAAGTTGTATCGATTAAAATACTGAAAAAACACTTCTCTTATCATTTTAAGTGATTTTAAACGGTTATTTTGAAGTTTTATCAGTTAAAACACTGACAGAAGGTTTTCAAAACTTTCTTTAATGAAAACAACCGGTTATTTCGAAATTATATCAGTTAAAAACTTGTTTAAGAAAGCTTTTGTTAAAATACTTTGTTTTTAACTGCTTAAACGTTTTTAGAGGCATTTTGCAAAATCTTTTAAGTGAAGAAACCTCATGTAGCAGAAAAGATAAAATGATTATACCTAAGCATAGCTGCGGACACACTAATCTTTCTACTCTTTTATCTTAGTAACTTTTGTCCACTGCAAAGTTGCTTTTGACTTCATTTTTTACTTCATCAAATCAATGAGATCTTTGCCAAAGTATTTCAATAAGATCTTCATCACTTTCAATGGAGAAGAAGTTTGGAATGGAGAAGAAATCAAGGAGGAAGAAGAAGCTAAGGAAGGAGAAGAAGTTATGGATGGAGTGTAAGTTAAGGATGGAGAAGAAATTTGGGATGTAGATGAAGTTAAGGAAGGAGAAGAAGAAGTTAAGGATGGAGAAGAAGTTAGGGAAGGACAAGAAGTTAAGGATGGGGAAATAGTTTGGGATGGAGAAGAAGTGAAGGAAGGAGAAGAAGTTAGGGAGGAAGAAGAAGAAGAAGTTTTGGATGGAGAAGAAGTCAAGGATAAAGAAGAAATTATGAATGGGGAAGAAGTTAAGGAGGGAGAGATGATTATCATGGATGGAGAAGAAGTCAAGGAAGGAGAAGAAGTCATAGACGGAGAAGATGTTATGGAAGGAGAAGATGGTTTGGATGGAGAAGAAGTTAGGGAAGGAGAAGAAGTTAGGGAAAGAGAGGAAGCTAAAGAAGGAGAAGAAGTTTGGGATGGAGAAGAAGTTTGGAATGGAGAAGAAATCAAGGAGGAAGAAGAAGCTAAGGAAGGAGAAGAAGTTATGGATGGAGTGTAAGTTAAGGATGGAGAAGATATTTGGGATGTAGATGAAGTTAAGGAAGGAGAAGAAGAAGTTAAGGATGGAGAAGAAGTTAGGGAAGGACAAGAAGTTAAGGATGGGGAAATAGTTTGGGATGGGGAAGAAGTGAAGGAAGGAGAAGAAGTTAGGGAGGAAGAAGAAGAAGAAGTTTTGGATGGAGAAGAAGTCAAGGATAAAGAAAAAATTATGGATGGGGAAGAAGTTAAGGAGGGAGAGATGATTATCATGGATGGAGAAGAAGTCAAGGAAGAAGAAGAAGTCATGGACGGAGAAGATGTTATGGAAGGAGAAGATGGTTTGGATGGAGAAGAAGTTAGGGAAGGAGAAGACGTTAGGGAAAGAGAGGAAGTTAAAGAAGGAGAAGAAGTTAAGGATGGAGAAGAAGTTTGGGATGGAGAAGAAGTTTGGAATGGAGAAGAAATCAAGGAGGAAGAAGAAGCTAAGGAAGGAGAAGAAGTTATGGATGGAGTGTAAGTTAAGGATGGAGAAGATATTTGGGATGGAGAAGATATTTGGGATGTAGATGAAGTTAAGGAAGGAGAAGAAGAAGTAAAGGATGGAGAAGAAGTTAGGGAAGGAGAAGAAGTTAAGGATGGGGAAATAGTTTGGGATGAGGAAGAAGTGAAGGAAGGAGAAGAAGTTAGGGAGGAAGAAGAAGAAGAAGATGTTTTGGATGGAGAAGAAGTCAAGGATAAAGAAGAAATTATGGATGGGGAAGAAGTTAAGGAGGGAGAGATGATTATTGTAGACCCCAAATCTTGCCCGGCCTCCAAATAAAGACCAGAAGACCTCCTATTTGAAGATGGACAAGCCTAACAAGCCACTAGGAGAGACTATTAGGCCCCATACTAGGATAGGAGGGAGTTTCTGTACCAAAAAATAAGTTTTCTCGCCTTGAAGGGACGAGACCGCCTTCTGGACAACCCAGACCACCGTCTCGCCTCATACCCATCCAGTCCCACACAACGGACTGTACCACCCTGATGGGGGGGTTCATACCCATCCAGTCCCGCACAACGGACTGCAACCACCAGCCTGATGGGGGATTCATACCCATCAACCGAAGGATCGGCTCCGTCAGAAGGAGTTCCTGAGGTCTTACCACGTGTTCACCAAAGGGATCGGCTACGTCAGAAGTAGTATCTCGGAAGTGCACGAACACCAAAGTTTTTCCCAGAAGATCAACCGCCGCAAGACGGGACGTCTGAAGGGCAATCGGGCAAGAGGGTCAACTCCTTTACCCCCCAGTCGATCATCTTGGCACAGAAGGCCAGCAGTCGACTGGACGGGTAAAGGGGGGGCAGCTGTAGACCCCAAATCTTGCCCGGCCTCCAAATAAAGACTAGAAGACCTCCTATTTGAAGATGGACAAGCCTAACAAGCCACTAGGAGAGACTATTAGGCCCCATACTAGGATAGGAGGGAGTTTCTGTACCAAAAAATAAGTTTTCTCGCCTTGAAGGGACGAGACCGCCTTCTGGACAACCCAGACCGCCGTCTCGCCTCATGCAAGTGGCGAGACCGCCGTCTCGCTTGACGAGACGGCGGTCTCGCCACTCGCGAAGGACGAGACGGCGGTCTCGCTTCACCCGGACGGCGGTCTCGCCATTTTGACAGGTCGAGACGGCGGTCTCGTTGGACAAGACGACGGTCTCGACTCCCGTCGGGACGAGACCGGCGGGTCTCGCCACCTGACAACGCGAAAACTTGTAAATAGGGGCTCTCCCCCCCCTCATTTCCACACACCACAGCTGCATAGCTCTCCCTTCTCTCTAAAAACTTCTCTCTAGAATCCCTCCGACGCATTTCCGGAGCTTCTGAGTGCTTGCAAGAGTGATTTTCGGCGTTCGAGAGGTTTTTCGACGTCTTGTAGAGTGAAGGGCTGCCATAAAGCACCCTATTTTTTTTAGAGAATTAATATAAAAAGCGTGCTTCGGAGGTTCAAATTCTCTCCTTCCACCTTTACCGTTTTTATCTTAAATTATGCAATAGATAGTAGGGCCATGTAGTCATACTTTTAAATTCCGCAGAATAAAAAGGGCAAAAGTGTATTTTTCTAGTTTATCAATAAAATAAGCCGGCCTGTCATAGGGAACCCGAAAGGGGTGTCGTAAAGGGACTAATACTCCCTTTGCTCGTAACCAACTCCCTTACCCAACTCTGGTTCTAATGACCAAAGTTGGTTTTCGAAAACCAACGCCTTTTAAAACCCCTTTTCCGATGTTTTCGGTAAAAACATCGGTGGCGACTCCATAGAACCCAAAATAAATAAGTCCTTGGGTTAGCCCGGTTATCGGACAACCCAAGGACACTTTTCGAAAACCTCGCCCCTAGGTTAGCCCTGTTATCGGACAACCTAAAGGCGTTGTAACCATCCATAAAAAACGCAAAAACAAGAGAGGGTCGAAAATAACCATCGCGTCGCTCTGACCGCGCCCCCTTTTCGGGGAGGCGACGACAAATGGAGACTCCACTGGGGAAGCCTAGAGAGTTAATCCCATTTAGTGATGGGTCGGCTTAAACAATAAATAAACCAAGAAAATAACACTTTTGCCCTTAACTTGTATTTATAACATGTTTTATTGTTTGGCTTTAATAAATCGTTGATTGTTTATACTTGCAAATTGCTTGAAATATAAACTGCACATAATCCCTTGCACACAACAGTTCCCCCTATACCCGGGGGCAAGTGGGATAACCATAGGGAGTGGGTGGCAGGTACGGTTCGCTGTAGTGAGGGCCTTGTGCCCACCAGTGTGATCGGAAACCACCACTCAAGGTGATAACCTTCCTCTTTTGGCAACAAGACTGACTATGGCCTTAGTGCTAAGCATGGTCGGACGGCTGGAGAGTGGGGACCCTATAATGGGGGCACCTTGGGGGCCTTAGCCTGGTGAGAGCAGTTAGAACCTACCCTAACCAATGCACTTTTATGCAGGAAAACCCTACCTCGTAATAAAAACAAAAATCTCGCCTGTTCGGGGATGATCGAATTGTGTGTGCATTTTATTGTTGCATTTGTATGTTGCATAGCATAAACAAATAACAAAACAAAAAATATTTTTCACAAATAAACGCCCTTATCTTGGACAGTCTGCCTTTTAGCTAGCCTGGTTTCAGGTTCTTTGCAAGCTAAGTAGCCACGCAGTTCCGACAAAAGAGATAAGGGACGCTAAATATCCTTTCGCATAAAGCCACATTTTATCTTGGACAGTTTGCCTTTTAGCTAGCCTGGTTTCAGGTTCTTTGCAAGCTAAGTAGCCACGCAGTCCGACAGAAGAGATAAAAGGCTATAAAATAAACATCAAGATACCAAAAATAAATAAAACAACTTCTGACAAAATCAAAACTCATTCATACTACATCATACCAGGAGTAAAGAAAAACCAAGAGAGAAAATAAAAAATGAGAACGCATTCAACATCATTTAAATAAAGAAAAAAAATCTCTCTCATGCATACTCATTTTAGTATAAGCACTCAACATGCATTAATAAAACTTTTTCGGACATTCTAGAAAGTGGCTGGTCCTCTTCCTACTCGTACTCGTGCACAAAAGGCTAAGGCAATGGAGAATTTGGAAGAGCAAAACCGCAAGCTCACCGCAGAGTTAATACCCTCCGCGAACAAGTAGCCCGAGCTTAATGGAGGTCGTACGCCACGGCGCGAGCAAGGGCGAAGACCAGGCCGAGCATATCCCTCCCCACGAGGAAGAGGAGGAAGAGTACTTTTTTGGTGATAAGGATGTCAAGACCGCATGCATCCTTACTCCAGAAGTATCCAAACAACAACTCTCCGCTCTGGAGGAGAGGCTGAAGGCGGTCGAAGGGCATAACTTCGACGTCAAAGAGGTGGCCGACATGTGCCTCGTGAAGGACATCCGCTTCCCTCCCAAATTTAAAATCCCGGACTTCCCCAAGTACGCCGGGATGACCTGCCCAAAAAACCATCTTACGATGTATTGCCGTAAGATGGCCGCCCATGCTGACAACGAGAAACTCCTGATCCACTGCTTCCAGGAGAGTTTGGCAGACACAGCTCTCAACTGGTACATGCAGTTAGAGAGAGGGCAGGTCCAGAACTGGAAACAGCTGGCAAACGCTTTTCTCCGTCGTTACCGATACAACATTGATCTGACACCCGACAGGTCAGATCTCAGAGCTCTAAGCAAGAGAAACTGTCGCCGCCTCCCCAAAGAGGGGTGCGCGGTCGGAGCGACGCGATGGTTTTTCGACTCTTCTCTATTTTCGCGTTTTTATTGGTGGTTACAACGCCTTTAGGTTGTCCGATAACCGGGCTAACCTAGGGGCGAGGTTTTCAAAAGTATCCCTGAGTTGTCCTATAACGGGGCTAACTCGGGGATTTATTTAATTTGGGTTATATGGAGTCGCCACCGATATTTTTACCATAAACATCGGAAAAGGGGTTTAAAAGGCGTTGGTTTTCGAAAACCAACTTTGGTCATTAGAACCAGAGTTGGGTAAGGGAGTTAGTTACGTGTAAAGGAAGTGTTAGTTCCTTTACGACGCCCCTTTCGGGTTCCCTATGATAGGCTGGCTAACTTGAATGAATAATTAAACTAGAAAATAGCGTTTTTACCCTTTTATTATACGGTATTTAAAGATTTATGACTACATGGCCCTAGTATCTATTGCATACATTTAAATGAAAGCAGTAAAATGATAAGGGGAGAGAATATGCACCTCCAAAGCAAGCTTTATATATTTTCTTTAAAAGAGAGGGTGCGTTTTGGCAACCCTTCACTCTACAAACTCTCAGAAACTCCGGAAATGCCTCGGAGGGATTCTAAAGAAGGTTTAGAACGCTCAGTTTTATGCCTAAAGACGCTCAGAAACTCCGGAAATGCCTCGGAGGGATTCTTAGAGAGAGAAAATCTAGAGAGAAGGGAGAGCTATGTTGATTCTGTGTGGAAATGAGGGGGGGAGAGCCCCTATTTATAGTTTTTCGCGCCTGACAGGTCGAGACCGCCGTCTCCTCTGACAGGGGTCGAGACCGCTGTCTGGAAAGTCCAGACCGCCGTCTCGTCCATGGCAGAAATCGAGACCGCCGTCTAGAAAATCCAGACCACCGTCTCGACTTTGCAGGAGACGAGACCGCCGTCTGGTACTTCCAGACGGCGGTCTCGTCCTGGTGCTGAGACGAGACGGCGGTCTGGTACTTCCAGACGGCGGTCTCATCCCTTCAGGGCGAGAAACTTTATTTTCGGGCCAAAAAACCTTCCTATCTTGGTACGGGAGCCTAATAGCCTCTCCTAATGACTTGTTAGGCTTCGGCCGTCTTCAAATGGGAAGCTTTCTGACTTTATTCTGAGGCCGGGCAAGATTTGGGGTCTACAGAAACGACGAGCCTTTTAAAGCGTATGCCCAAAGGTGGAGGGAAATGGCAGCTCAGATAGAGCCTCCTTTGACGGACAAGGAGACAGTGGCTATGTTCATAGACTCACTGACCGGAGCGTACTATGATAAGGCGATAGCTAGTACCTCTAATCTTTTTTCGGACATAGTCACTGTGGGGGAAAGAGTAGAGCAGGGGCTAAGGAGCGGGAAGATAGCACAATCTTCCCAAGCTGGCGTCTCATTCAGGAAACCTGCTGGCAAGAAGAAGGATGAATTTGTGCATGCAATCAACTTCGCCACTCCTTCTTCCACCCCGCAAGCGCCCAGGCAGCCCCGCAAGAAAGAAAGGAAGTTCACTCCAATCTCCACTTCCTACGTACTCACCGCTACCTCAGCTCGTTGGAGGCTAAGCTCCCGGCCT